TTTCTACAAAACAAAACCGGAAATCGAGGGGTTATGACGTCATTGGCAGGCAGGTCCGTGTCACTAGTTCAAATTGCTTATTTCTCTGGATTTAAACATTCTTCGAAACATTTGGGATAACGTAAGTACACAAGTCAGCAAAATATATAACACTGTTCTAGTGGTTTTTGGATATTTTAATAAAAAAATCTTACATATTGTGCCTTTAAATTAAACGTTTATAGCAACTTACCTGAACGATACATCGGGTTTAATGACACAGACACGTGAAGGTAACTCTATCGTCACCTGATCAGAAGAGTGAGCGGTCAAAATGACAGCGCGCGTTGAAAAAATTCTCGTTTTCGTGTGCATTGCGTAAAATAACATTTCTGCGATAAGGACCTACCATTCATGTTACTTTTTGATAAATTGTTTCATTTTAAACACGTCATAACTGTAGATAGCAGAAAAAAATACTGGACATAGAGAAAAAATCTTGTACACTGCAAAATTATTTAATTATTTAAATTTTTTCCCAACAAACTCACACTCCTCTTTCTCACGCAGTCATCACTCAAGCTCTTTAAGATATCCTGAAATGTCTCTTGAAAATGTATAGCCTAGAAAATATAAGATTCAGTCATCTAAATATATTGTAGCCTGTATTTATTTACCAAATCTGCTTCATACCTTTCATTATTGATTTATAAAGTAAAATATGTTCAGATAATAATCTCTTGGTTCCACACAGGAAGTAAAACATCTTTTAGACTGCAGAGTAACTTATTTTCTGAAAATCACATGTCAAGTTCTCAGTGAATCCTTCTGATCGCTGACAGATTTATTTTACAACTAAATAAGGTCAGCTGTTGAATAATACCATAGTTTATCATTTTCATTTATCTTTCTTAATACAAAAGCATTGACTCTTGAATAAGAAATCAAAAACCATGCCGCCAGCATGTTCTATTTAAAGACAATAATAACTTGTATAACAATAATAATAATACAATAATAATAATAACAATAATAAACTTAATTTGTAGTTTTTATTTAGCACCTCTCCACTTTTGTCCTCTGCAGTTTAGTATTGACTTGTACACAGTGCATCATGGGAAAAATGCACACTGGAGTCCAGAGAAGCCATCATAAAAATAACCCAAAACATTTGGGTTCGAAGAGTTTGCTTTTAATATTAATTTACCTCTTAATTATTCCATTATTGTTCTTCAGCTTTCATTCTGAAGAGACTTTGATCTGAGGAGGTTGTACAGAACTGAAATTTAAAGTATTATGTAGAAGCTGCCAAGACAAAAAGATCAAGCAGAAGAATGGCATTTGTTGATCTGCAGCGATGTGTCCTTACTTTCCCTTTGAAAACAATGTTTTGTAGGGAAGGCAGATGACTTCAACCTTCTGCGGTGATGCATGAATAAAAGTAGTCATTCCAGTGGCTTAACCTTCACTATTAGGACTTAGCATACGAGGCACAGACACACAGAAAAGATGTGTGCTTCTGTATATAGAATTTTATAATGTCTTTCAGCCTGACATTGGGCATGAGTTTTAAAACAGGGCTCTTTTGTATGTCAAACCTCACGTTTTAATGGATTTCCTATAAAACTGTTCACCGATCATGGTATTCAAATCACAGCTCTAGCAAAACTGCCCCCTCTGTTGGTGTCTGGAAGCGATCCTAGCCAAGGAGGTACACCACATCTAACGCCAGGCTGCACGCTCTTCCTTCAGCACCCATCATGCTTTTTCCTGTGGTGCGTGTGTGATCATTTATAGGGGGCTTAATCAACATGTATTTAGTGCATGTATTTTGTGAATCATTTTTATAGGCCTTGGTTGCCTGATTCTGTGTACACAAGCCAAAGGTTGTGCCAGATCTGAACACGGATCAAACAAAAAGGCCCACCGTGACATTCAAAGAAGGGGTTGTTAACCCTTATTTCACAAACTATTACAAGGTGCAGTAAATCAGAGACTAATAACGTTTGTAGAGCTTCATATGGCCCTCGAATCATGCCGGTGCTACCACTTATTAGCCTATTTGTTGCATATCTATCCATTAATTATGTTTTGTACCCAGACTTTCCAGTGCCACAGGCCACCCTCTGACATCCGAGAGCTTTAAAGGTGGGCCATTCAAACAAGAATATGAAAATGAAACGGAGAATGGGGGGGGATAAAAAGAAGGAATGCATAAAGTCAGCAAGAAAAGAAAATCTCTTTTGAAAGGGGTGCATAATCATTCTGAGAGCCCCAGTGTGGAACCTAAATAATACAGTTCAGGTTTTGATATAACTATTACTGCCTGGGAAGAGCACTTTGAAGTTAATTGAAACCACTGGGCAGCAATCTCCTTTATAGCACTGACAAATAACAGTTTCCTACAGCTTATCATTGAAGGTTAGGGCATGGGGAGGCACATGCCTGTTCCATATGCCCACTCAATACAAATAAAACTCAAAAGGCCTTCCTTTTCTCCCAGGCACACCATGCAGGACACTGAGAAAATGGTCATGGACAGGATGTGGGGAGCACAAAACTGGTCTTTAGTGGTCTTAAACAGCCTCAATGTCTGACCCCCATTACTGTGTTTTTACCAGACTTTACCACCTCTTTAGAATAAATCACATCACAACTTGATAATGCTACATTAAAGTATAGGTGGCCCAATATATTATATGCGCTCAAAGGGAAACCTATTATTAATCAAAGGAGAGACTGCTTTTACTTACAAGCTTTTTTCCAAACCACGTAGCAGGTTCTGGTTCTAATATATGAGCCGAGTATAACGGTCACTGAATTTGTCTTTAATGTTACTTATTGTTTTTCTGGCACAAGGCTCTTTTCACCTTTGATTTCAGCTCTCTCTCTCATTTTTTACATGCCTATTTGCAGGGGTAAAACACAGGCCCGTCGGAGGGTCATCTGCTGTCGATGCGCTGCACAATAACACATAACATCCCCCATGGTGAAAAGTGAGAACAGAGAATTGGCCAGACAAAAGACATGGAGGATTTGATGAGCTCCAGGAGTTCAAAGTTTTCCGTCTCGCTTGTACCACATCTGAAAGCATGCTGCCCCTAAACCTGCGTTTAACTTGCTGATCACGTATTAAAAGTATTCTTGAACATGATGAGGCGCGTGATTGAACGCAGAGCAGGCTGACAGGCACCAGCTCGAAGACAAAATCCGCCGCTGATGGGTCCGTGAAGTCCCGCTGGTGAGCTTTTTAAATAAGCCTTGAGTGACAGATGTAATATATGAAGAGTGGTTTAACACGCACACACAAAAGAAACGTTAATTGAATGATTGGATGTGAAGTATATACAGACATGATCTTTGTTTCCTCGAAAAGCTATGACAGAATAATAATTTCCTTTTCATTAGCTTACAAAAGAATCCCCATAGACACATGTGCTTATACACTTATATCCATATGGAGCCACTTTGCTGAAGTTATTTTTCAAACACATATTTCCCTCCAAAGCTAAAAGAGAAGGGCGGAAATGTAGGTTATAAATAGGAATCAAAAGAGCCCTCCTGTTTATTGCAACAAGATGACAGAGACACTGAAATCTTTGAAAGTATGAGTGCTTTGAGCTTTTTACAAGACAGGTGAAGAGAACACATGTGTTCAATCTGCGTACCAGGCTCGCCTGGGTCGGCCCTATCATAAAAGAAGAGAGATTACAAAGAAGTCTAATGAAGACACTGATCAAAGTCTGTAATGCTAATACATAGCAGGTGTTTTGAAACCTTTTAATACCCCCCTGCCCCTCTGCGGGGCTCGTGCCTGTATATCTTTCACAGAGCGGTCCTTTTGTCCTCGGCTGGAACTGGGAACCAGCGGAGTGCTTTTCAACACCACTTCACATGCATTACGAGATATCTGTTGACCTCAGACGCTCAGAGGGGGTTATGTCCATGTCATACACAAATGCTGCTACATATTCTATTACAGCTCAAAGTGGTGTTTTTGGAAAATAGAATATCCTGCTTTGGGGCCCTTCTGCCTTCAGCTGTACAGCACCTGGGTAAAAGCTGGAGAAGAGGTTGTAAGAGACCTGACAAGACTGACTTTTTGGAATATGCTCAAAGCACGATGACTATTTTTGTAGGAGCTGCAAAGCTGTTTCTGATTTCCATTCATTGAAAACAAGGCAAACCTCAGGAGAGTACAAACAGTGGCTAAGCTGCTCTGTTTTAACTCAGCTATGTATTATTAAACCTTATTATGGTATAATCATTTGTTATTAATTTACACTCTGATGTTAATTAGCCTCCCTATTGTCCAAAGAAACTGCACCCACCTGTGATTCTTGGATCAAAATTGAAAACCATCATGATATAATCATACTTGGCAGTATAGGGGGGTCATTCTTAAGTAAAATGTGTGTTCATTTAGCCCTAATCTGTATAATATACATACTTTGGTCAAAATTTAAATGTCTATTCAAAAGTGTCATGTTTAGTTCAAGTACAGTCAAATGTACAGTTATTGTTATAAAAATTATAACAAATTTATAATTCTATAAATTTATATAAAATATATATATTTCTATATATTATATATATAAATCATATAAAATTATTTATATATAGTAGGTTATTTATATATATATATATATATATATATATATAGAGAGAGATATATATATATATATATATATATATATATATATATATATATATGTATGTATGTATGTATGTATATATACACACATACACACATACACACACACTCAAAATTTGTTTTCTGTTTTATTGTATTTATTTATATATATTCCTGAAAATGTCAGAAAGCCTGGGTAGAGTAATTCCCTTTATGAGCAAGTTATACATTTTTAATATGTACTCTACACATTTAGTAAAACAGTCATTCTTTTAACACCACGTCTAGCACCGCATGAGCATAAAATCCATTAGGAACCTCTCTCAGCCCAGCTGAGCCTATATCCACTTCCGGTTTGACTCACATTACAAGCGTGGTTTTCCTGGCGCGAGGATTCTGGGAAATGTCGTCCTGACCGGAATGCTGGTAGCGACTCAAAAACAAAACAGCAACGTAAAATAACGACACCAGGTTCATTGTCATACACGTTGCATATAATATCGTAAACATAGCTAAGATTATATTTAAATCCGCTCAAGAAAAGTTTACACGCTAACGGCACAATCTAAAGACTACATCACCCAGCTCTGCGCGCTATGAAACCGAGGCAGCGTAAACAGTACTTCAGGAACATGAAAAGATCGGATGACAGTGAGAGGGAAAAGAGGAGAAAGGTATCGCTTGTAGTTTTCTCTCAGTTCGCCAAGCACCACATGTAGTTATAGAGTTTGTAAGACACCGTTCAGTGTGTCCGTGGCGGTATTGCATGAGCTGGTTGGTGCTGTGTGTTCATTTGAAGTGCGCATGTGATGCTGCTGATTGCTCCTATAATGTTTCCATTCTTTTATCCGACGAGTTCTGTCTCTGTGTGCACACAGTCATCCGGCACACGAGTGTGTGTTGAGGCACAGCGCGGGGGGAGTGTTTTCTCATGACTTTGCTGGAGTGGCTTGTGTTGCGGCATTACAGCGAGTTCAGTCGTGGTGCTAATGAATAAAGTCAGGACGCCTGTCCAGGTGTCTGTCCCTCTGCAGGTGTCTCTGCTAAACCTAGTATTCCGCACTTAGTTTACTTATAAAGCGCATGGGTCCTGTTTTCATCTGTTTTCGGACTAAACAAAAGATTCATCCATGAGCTGGTCAGGAAATGGACATGTTGTGTTTTTAATTGAGCAGAGACAGTGTAATAGAAATAACTGTTGTGGTGCAGCTGTGTTTATCTGAACCTGTTGCTTTTTCAGTGCATCATTGTGTGAAGCTTTTTGGTCCTGAAAGTAGATACAGTGGTATATTGGTCTTTATCATTTAACATAAACAGTCCTTATCAGATACGTGGACGGTAATATTATTATTGTACAGTTTTTTTTGCATTGCATTCAAGGTATATTTGATCAGTTCATGCACTTCCTGGGAAGCAAACCTATGACCTAGGTGTTGCTTGCGCATTGATAAGAAATTATACTTCCAATATATACCCTTTGATATTTTGCTATACTCCATTCTAGGTGTCAAGTTTCTTAGGGGTTCGATGTATTTGAAAACGGGTGTTTTTTTTTGGATAGGGAAAAATAATAGCCACAAAAATCAGTTTCAGTTTGAAGTTATGTACTGGTGCTGAGCTCAAATAAAAGTTAGTAATCATTTTTTTTTTTTAATACGGCACAAATGAAGTATTGCAAGATTTAAGTTGGACTCTTTTGGTACTGATCTCTAATCATTATTTTTATTAGATGGAAGTAATGTTTAACATGCCAGCGTATTTGAAAATGTCAAATTTATTTATAGTTGTACTTGACAAGTTGACTTGTCACTTTCTGAACTTGTCTGTGATGCTTTAGTTTGATAATCAAAATACATATAATAATGTGGCATTTAGTTTGCATTTCAAAGGACTGTATGTTTGATTTGTCTGTAGTATAGTCAAGTTGTTAGAAGGTCTGTCAGTAGTTTCTCTATTCAGTTCTCTCTTTCTATAACCGGTTTCATTTCCCACTAATTTTTCTCCCTTTTTGTTTTAGTCTGCTCTCTCTCTCTGATGGCATGCTTTTGGATCTTGTCTGACAGCAGGGAGTCTATGTAGTACGCGGTTCCACCACTTTATTGCAGCTGCCACAGGAATCAGATGAGTCCCTGAGAACTTGATCCAGTTGGTTTTGGGTCTGTACAGCAGACGGACAGACAGACAGGTCTGCTACCCTGCCCCATCTCATTTCGTCTTATCTCTTTCTTCACAAAAATAAACGGATATGGGAAGAAAACCACCGAGCAGCTAGACTGAGGGTCTGGTGTGTGTTCCTGCGTTTCCTTAATATAAAACACGGGTCCATTTAATCATAATAATAAATAAAAGGGAGTACATTGTTGTCTCGGCCATAAACATGTGTGCATTTGTGCCCAATAACTAGGATGTGGATGGATGTCAGAAGAAGGCCTGTGAACTATCCGTCTCAAAAAGGAATTAATTTTATCCTTAGTTCAGCTTTGCCAGGCATTTCCTAACCATATGTGGCACATATGTATGATAAAAAGAGCACTTCCATTATCATGCACTAAAAGAGGGAGACTATTGGGTAATAGCCTATTAAAAACTGACTTCATCCTTTTAGAAGTGACCTTACATGGCCTTCGACCTAAAAATACTGTTTTAGTAGTTGACAAAGGGACATTGGACAATCAGAGTTGGCGGTTTTAACGTTGCCAGGGTGACCACGAAGATCCCACTGAAGTATTATTCAATTATAAATGCCATTTTGACCATTTTATTGCATTTGCAGGAGAATGGGGGCCCTGTTATTTTTCTTTCCTCACAGTTATGAATTAGAAAAGCACTTTATGTTTTTTTTGTCCATCTGTTGAGCATGTTTTATTTCTTGACGCTCACAACTCTGTTGGCCTCTGCTGCTGCTTTTGACACCTTTCTTGATGACTGTGCGACATTATGTTCTGCTTGTACTGCGAAGAATAGTGCTTTTGATTGGGATTTTTTTTTTTGATAAATAAACAAAGAGTAAAGCTATAAATAAAAATAACTAAATGCATTATTTCGGAGTGGCAGAGTACGTGAGGAGCACAGAGGGTTGCCAGATGTTCAGAGGCTTGCGCTCCTCCCGGCCCATCATTCAGAGAGTTCTCGGCTCATTGGCTTTCTCAGCTCGTGTGTTTGCTGGAGAAAGCTGTTTAGGCTATTTCATTCATGAACACTCATTAAAATGGTTTGTGTTCCCCTTGGCAATTCTGTTAAATTAACAGCTAGCTTCAGTTTAGGCCTGATTATGAGGCCACACAGCCAGTCTTGATTAATCAATTTCTCCCACAAAATGTTCCTCTGTAAATTAGTGTTAAAGTAACGATTTATAGGTCCTAATGCCGAGCCGCTGTCATGTCGAAGCCGGTGTTTTAGCGGGAGGTGGTGTCACTTTCGGCGTAATCAGCAGCTTTTCTGCCCCCCTTGTCGTTTTCCCCCTCTCCGTTCGTCACCGTATGCCTACATCCTATTAATGAGTCCATAATAGAGAAACAGTGTCAGACAGCCACATAAAACACACTCAGGAATACATAATTAGACTCGTGTTCAAGCCATGCTAGGGGCAGATTTATATCTGGTGATGTAAAAAGAAAGAAAAAACTAAATAAGGAGGCAGTGCAGTGCAGCTCATGACTTCTGATTCTCGAAATCTGAAAAGACTGAAAAACAGGCGAGGGAACGAGGGAGGGTGGGAGTGTTAGAAAAAATACTGCCACAGTAGATAATGATACCATTACACTAATGGAGGCAGCAAATGAAGTAGCAGGCGGACACTGTGCTTTATTGCCATAGGGGGTCGTTTTCTGCTGTATTCTTAATGGCTGGAACCGCCGGTATTGATCAGGCCATCATACTGCTAATCCACACGTGCATTACTTTCTGCCGCAACACTGTGTCAGTCTTTCCACTGCTGCCACCCACAGCCCACCCTGTTCCCTTGCCACAGGCCCTGCAGAAGACCCCACAGAGCCTGTGATTTAAGGGTGGAGGTTGAATGGTGGTGTGGACGGGGTCACTGAATGTCCCCTAGTCAGGCCTCTTTTGTTTTATGATGCACAGAGGGAGAGTGAGTGGCCTGAGTGATTAAGTACAGGCAGAGGTGTTAGTTTAATTAAGAGGTAAGGCATTACCTGCTCTTCTGCTTTTTTATGGTAGTTAGTCTGTGTTTGAGTTGAACCGCGAGTGGGCTGCTGTCTTTTCTAATGGTTTGGAGCTGTAAATAAGTCTAGGCTGATCTATATCCTTTGGTGAAGCCATCTGCTAAATGACAAGTAAAAACACCTGGCTTGCCAGATCCTTGATCAAGTATTTTACTGGACTCCAAGGGAAATGGCTTTTAATTAAAAAGTGACTGATCTGGCAACTCTAGTCTTTTAAATTTTCTTTTGAAAAGAGAAAGTAGATTTAGAATGTTCCATTAAAGGAATCAATCTCAGATTATTTATTTTTTATTTGATTATTTATACATTTATTTTCACTATTTTTTTTTTTAATTGAATGTAGGACAGTAATGCAGGAAGTGTTTTACTGTCTTTTTTATTATATTTAGTATCATGCAATTCTAATATATTTCTATCATGATTTGAAACCAAACCTTCATATGTTTGAGTTTGTTTGGACGGTTCACATTTGCATTTGCATTTAGCAGACACTTTTATCCAAAGTGACTTACAAATGAGGACAATGGAAGCAATCAAAATCAACAAAAGAGCAATGATATACAAGTGCTATAACAAGTCTCAGTTAGCTTAATGCAGTACACATAGCAAGGTTTTTTTTATTATATAATAAATATAAAGAAAACAGATAGAATAGAAAAATAATAGAGCAAGCTTGTGTTGGAGGCCTTTTTGCTTTTGTTAATTGTATAATAAATAAAAAGAAAAGGAATTGATAGAATAGAGAAGCTAGTGTTAGTAGCAGTTAGTAAATTAATAGAGTGCAAGTCTAAAAGGGGAAAGTATTTTTTTTTAAAGAATAGAATTAGAATAGAGATTGCTAGAGTTAGAGGGTCAAATAAAGATGGAAGAGATGTGTTTTTAGCAGGTCATTCCACCTGGAGGGAACATTTAATTTAAAAGTCAGTGAAAGTAATTTTGGATGGCACAATAAAGCAAAGTTCACTTGCAGAATGCAAGCATCTAGAGGGCACATAAATCACAAAGTCATAAGTAATACATTTAGGTAAAGGGGTGCAGAGCCAGTGGTGGTTTTGTAGGCAAACATCAATGCCTTGAATTTTTTGCGAGCAGTTATTGGTAGCCAGTGCAAACTGATAAACAGAGGTGTGACGTGCATATTTTTCGGCTCATGAAAAATTAATCTTGCTGCCGCGTTCTGCATTAAAGGGATGGTTGATTGCGATTTTTTACGTTAGTTAGTGTGTAATGTTGCTGTTTGAGTATAAACAATATCTGCAAAGTTACGAAGCTGAAAGTTCAATGCAAACGGAGATATCGTCTTTTAAAATTCTGGCAGTTTAATGCCTACAGAAACGTCTGGTAGAGACTACAACAAGTTACTTTCCGGGTTCGTGACGTAACAAACCCAGATAAACCCTGTCCTCGGGAAAAGGCAGCAAAGGGGGGCGAGGCCATGCTGCACTGCTTTAGAGAAGAGGAAGAGAAAACTAGAGGTGCACGTAAAAATC